CTGCCGCAGCCGGGCCGGTGCTAGGTCTCTCCCCTCTTCCTGGGCTTCCCAAGCCCCCACCGGCCGTGCTCCTCTCTCGGTCTCTGTTCTGGCTCCCCCCTCTCCCGTCAATGCCAGTTCCGTGGGGCCCGAGGCGGTAGGGCCTTAGACGCGCCTGCTCAGTCTGCTATTTGGAAATGGGACCCCGGCTTTCCCTTTTCAGGGAAAGTCACTGCCATCCGCTGCTGGGCAGCAGCGAAAGCCCCCAGGTCTTCCTTCACACCTTCCCCTCAGCTAGTGAGTCCCCAGGTCTTGTCGTGGGAACCCCCAGAAAGTGAGCAGCGGCCTGGCCGGCCCCCCGGCAGCAGCCGGCTTCCCGCCGTCCTCAGAGACACTCTGAGGCACGGAGGTGTGTCCCTGTCCTCAACAGCAGCACGGGGCTCCCCCGGGCCTCGAGGGTGAAATGCAAGGTCCGTGCCATGAATTCCCATTTCGCCGCGTGCCTCATAAGCAAGCCCTGTCGTCAGCCCCCGAGCCCTGGCTCGCTCCACCAGCAGGCCAGCGGTCAGGCGCGGGCCCGGAGCTCGCGAAGCTGCCTGGCCATCCCGCTTCTCTTCTGCCCGGCCCCACCGGACGCTTCCCCGTGGTCGCGTCTCCTCGGTAGATTGTGTCCTCCCTAGAGAAGGTGGCCCCTGCCCCACCTTGAAATGCATGCCTGGCATGAACGAGCTTATGTGTGACTGACGTGTAGATATGTAGCCTAGATTATCTGCATTTTAGATTGGTACAACCACGAGCACATGTGCGAATATACGCCTGTTCGTACACACAGCCACACGCGTTCGTTTCCAGGTATAAGTGAACTGGAGTTTTAATGCATCTCTCTAAGATGTGTAATAGTCTCATGTGAAATTCCCACCTCTGAAAGGGGTGGATGACACTCAACTCTGCCTCTCACAGTTATATCTGAAATCTGCTTTGCAGACATAGTGAGAGGGCAGAAATTGCTGCCTTTGAGCAACTCGTGCTTCTCTGGAGTGCAAAAGTTAAGTTTAAGTCTAAGGGCTTGCTTTCATTCAAATAATTGTATTTTTATCCAACGAAGAGAAAAGTACCTCGGCCAGTGGTGCTGGGTTTTGCGTCAAATAAGCCTCTTCACGCTGGCTCTCACTAACCCCTTCCACATTCAGAAGCACGCCGCTCCCCATGAAACACGCCGCATCTTTGGAGAGTGAGCAACTGTGCTGTAAACTCATCTTTCGGCTGAAAACAGGCCACTGACTCGGTGTGTCCAAGCTTCGCCCCGAAGGTAAATCCTGGCCTTGCAGTCGTGGGTAGCGTCACATGGAGTCGTTGCTCCTCAGCTCCCGTGGGTGCCTTGGGTGGAACTTTGCTGTTCATGTCGTCTGTTTCCTCCTTCGCAGATGCAGCTTTATATAAAGCCTCCCTTGAGGCCCTGCTCAGGGTGAAAACTCTAAATGCATCGCTATCAAAATGATCTTGTCTCTGTGTTTTGAAGGCTTGTTTTTAATTGACAAGAGCTTGTGCCGTTTTGAGCACTGGATTTCTTATTGC